CTTCATCATAATTAGACATGTCATCTGCAATCATTGTACTGAAGTCTAGAAGAAGATTCCAAGTATCTTTTGGTATTGATCGTTTGTGATGTTCCTATAAAAAAACAAAACAGAAAACATCACTGAAGAGAGCTAGAAAAAAGCAGAGATGATGTTAACTACAAGAGTACAAAAGAACTGTATAATGGAATTTGGGTAAACAAATTTCCCATTCTATGTCCACTATATGTTTGAGATGAGTTAGTCATGCCTTAAAGGATGTTAATTTAAGAGCAGTATAATTTTAGAGACACATGAAACCGCAGAAAACATGAACTTACCAACAAAAATTTATTCCATAAGTCTAAGAATTTAAATCTTCCATTAAGCACTAAGTTCCAGTAGGCAATGGCCATTTCTAGATCTGTAACATTAAAAATAAATTATGTACTTCAATACTATAAATGTATTTCCCTGCAAAAGAACAGGTAAAGCCACAAATAAAACTTTCCCAAAAAGTTTGCATTATGAATACTTATGTATTAAAAATTTTATACAAACAAAAGTCTAAGATTTGCACCCTGCTGTATCCAGCCTCCTCAGCAATGAATAGTCCCCCTCAACGCCCTCAGGATAAAAATGATACCATTTACCCCAAAGAGCTGCTCAAAAGCTAAAGTCAGGTAAGATAGCTAAATATACCTAACTAGCTTTTTTTTTGGTACCAGGAATCGAATTTAGGACATGCGCTTGCCAGGCAGCGCCTGTGCCTCGCTTGTGCACTAGCTTCTAAGTATTCAAAAATGTTAATGTGTATCAGGTACCTCGCCTTCCAGCACTTTCGGCATTCTGGGCCAGATCACTCTGCTGTGCAATGCAGGAAATCCCGCAGTGTCTCTGGCTCCAGCTACTTGCTGTTAAGAGTAGCTATGCCACACCCCCACTGAGGACAATGAAAAATGTCTCCAGATATTGCTCCAAGGATCTCTTGGAGGACAAATGTGCCCCCATGGAGAATTACTGACATACACCTATAGGTTGGAATGAAAAGGACAACTCACAATCCTAAATATTTTACCCTCCCAAGTTGTTAACTAAATGGTCCTGACTACAGGGAGGCCATTAAGAATACTAATTTTAAAACTAAAATGTATAATAAATTGAGACTTTCTAAAAGTCTGTCAGTGACAACATGCAGTAAATAACTTTTTAGCTGGGCATGGGCAGAGGCAGATACAGAGACAGCACTGTCAACACAACAAAGAACTACACTTCACTTGTCCTGTGACAGAGAAGACAAAGTTCCGTGATTCAGTCACGGAACTGAAGGAGTTAAGACAGTTGTCTACCTTTAATGAATGACTTCACATCTCCAGGACCAGAGAATTATATCTCAGGAAATTAAAAAATCTTTTCACATGTCGGCTCAAACCATTCTTTGCTTTGTTTTGTCTGAGACAGGGTCTCACTACATATCCCAAGCCAGCCTCAAACTTGCTATGAAGCCCAGGCTGGCCTCAAACTTGCAATCCCCTCCTGTCTCAGCCTGCTGAGAGCTGGGGTTGCAGGTGTGTACCACCACGACAGCTCAAACCACTCTTGGTGAGGAAGCGTGACAGGGCAGGAAAGAAAAAGGTGGGCAAGTGCTGTTACAATTTTTAAAAATAATATAAAGTAAACTTGATGCTGATTCACTAACAAAAACAGGTACCTATAAGAAAATCAACTAAAAATCACAAATACTAGAAATTTGGAAGACCCACTAAGAATAAATTGTAAAGAACCAATCTTTCTTTTAGGAGGACTTTCAGATGAGTAGAAGAAGGAAGTTTTCAATACTTTTTCTAATGATACAGAAAATGTCCTATCACATAGAATGAACTTGCAACTAGGATAATGAATAGTTAACTTGATTTAAAAAACATTTCCCCAAGTATTAGGAGAAGAAGAATGAGCTAGAGAACCATCGCTCCAGGAGCATTATCATTACCAGTCTGTTAATATTCCCCCCCATTCAACAGTCCCATCAGTGACTGGAGGAAAGACACATGCTGTATACAGTATCGTTATCTCATCTACAGAACACACAGAAGTGAGAGCGGCCAATACCTGGACTACCAATACAATAAAGCAGCCTCACCAGTGATGACTTAGATCTAAAACGTCCCCCAAAGTCTGATGTTGAGAGGTGGGGCTTCTGGAAGGTGACTGGGCCCTGGGGCACTATGCTCATCACTGGGTTAATCACTAGTGAGCTCGGGACTGAATGTGCAGGTAGAAGGTGGGGCAGGGGTGGAGGCAGCAGCGGCTGGGGCGTGACCCAGGAGGGTGGATTCTGGCCCCTGGCTCCTCCCGTCTTCCCCCGCCTCCTGATGGCGTGGGATGAGCAGCTCTCCTCTCTGAGCCCTTCTGTCTTGGAGCCAGCCCACCAGCGACAGGTAGTTCTAAAACTGACCCAAATAAACCTCTCCTCCTTCAAGTTGAGCACTGTGTCCAACGACAGGAACGTGACTGATGTACTCCTTTGCTAATTTCCCTTCTGATGGACGCTACCCTCACAGGAGCTCAGTTAAGCAGGCACTAAACAATGTATATATTGTTTATATATTTATATATATATTGCTTATAATATGTATTATATCAGAATTCTATTTAAATGTCTGAAGTCAGTTAATCCCATCTATTGTCCTCCCTAAGTACCATCCAAAATGCAGACCTTTCTGGCCTTTTTTTTCCTTTTTTTTGGTATTCTCATCCCAATTCCCATAAGGGTGATTTTTTCCCCTCTGATTTCATTCTCCGTTTGTCCTCCTGATTCTACCGCATAACTGGAATGCCCATTACAACACTGCTAAGCTCCTGCATCTTGAACTTTTGCATGGGAACAACCATGTTCTACGGAACAAACACCAGGCGGCTGCAGCACTTTATCTTCATCTCTACTCGCACCCAAGAAGCTCTTGTTGGAACCCACCACTTTCATTGATGTCTCTGGCAACTGCTTCACAGTCTTCTGATCCCATGTTCTGCCATCACTCCGAAGGATTTCAACATCCCTAAGAAAAGTCATATAACCACGATAACCTAAAACCACATCCTCCATAAAAGTAACTCCACCCAAAGACCACTTGAACTGATAAATTCTTTAAGGCTGCAAGATACCAAATCCATATGCAAACACCAGCTGCATTTTTTATACCAATCACAAACTCGCCGAGAGAGAAATCACAAAAGCGATCTCATTCACAATAGCTATAAAAGAAAATACATTTAACCAAGGAAGTGAAAGACTTCTATAATGAAAACTTACCAAACCCCGATGACAGAAACTAACATTAAAAAAAAATGAAAAATGATCTCTCATGTTTAGAGATTAGAAGAATTAGTATTGTTAAAATGTCCATAACTACCAGGACAATTTACAGATTTAATGCAATTCCTATCAAAATACCAATGACATTCTTCACAGAACCAGTAAAAGCTATCATAAAACTCACACAGGGGGCTGGGGATATAGCTCAGTGGTAAAAGCGCCTGCCTGGCAAGCAGGTTGTGAGTTTGTGAGTTCAATCCCCGGTACCCCAAAAAAAAAAAAAAAAAAAAAACCTCACATAGAAGCCCAAAGATCCCAAACAGAGGCTAAAAATATAGCTCGGTAATAGAGCACTTTCCTAGAACACATAGGCTCTAACTTCAAAATCCAGAGCAATGCAAACAAATGAATGGCCAAAAGCAATCCCGAATGAAAAAAATAAAGCTGGAGGCACCATACTGCCAGGTTTTGGTACATACTACATAGATATAGTAACTAAAACAGCATGGTACTAGACAGAATAGATGTGCAGAAACAAAACCACGTATCTATAGCCAGTTAACTGATTTTTGACAAAGGTGCCAAAATCATACCCTGGAGAGAAAACAGTCTTTTCAATAAATGATGCTGGACAAACTAGATCTCCATATTGAAATCTGAGCCCTAACTTTCACCATATTAAAAAGAAAATCACTTCAAAATGGATCTAAGCCCTAAATATAAGATCTAAACAATGAAGAAAACATCAACACTTCAAAACATCAATATAGGTAATGATTTTTTTTTTTTTCGGAAGACTCCCAAAAGCACAAAAAACAAAAGCACACTAGGGACAAATGGAATTATTTCAAACTAAGAATCTCTACATAGCAAAAGAAAGAACAGAATGGACAATGTATAAAGTGGGAGGAAATACTTGCAAACTATTCATCTGATCAGTGACTAATATCCTGAGTGTATATGCAATTCAAAAATTTACAACAAAAAGCCCACACAATTCAAGAAAAAAAACGGGCAAATGATATGAATAGATGTTTCTTGAGAAAAGTAGAAAGAGCAACAAATATAAGGAAAAAATGCTCAATATTAGCAACAAGGGAATAAAAATCAAAACCAATATGCGATACCATCTTACCCAGTCAAAATGGCCATTATCAAAAAGAGGTTTTAAAAAAATCAACAAATGCTGGCGAGGATATGGAGAAAAGTGAATGCTTACACACTATTAGCGAGAACATGATAAATCAGTTTAGCCATTATAGAGAAGACAGCATAGAAGTTCCTCAGAAAACAAAAAATAGCTGTGCCACTCAGCTATCCCACTTCTGGGTAAATATCCAGAAGAAATGACCAAGCGTAGCACACTGACACCAGTACCCCAATGTCTGCTGCAGTACTATTCACAATAGCCAACATCTGGAACCAACACAGGTGCTCATCAGTGGACCAATAGATAAAGAAACCGTGGAACCGATGCACAATGGACTATCACTCAGACATGAAGAATGAGATACTGTCATACACAACAAAACGGGTGGAAAGGGGCGGGAGGGCAAGAACCTTTTCAATCTCTCCCATGCAGTTTTCCAGTTTCCTTACCTCCCTCCTCCATCTCTACACATATAATCACCTACTTCAAAGACAAACACACAGACCCACATAAGGCAGAAAGTCTCCCATTGTCACTGGATGACAAGCCCTGAGGGTGGGAACCACACTTCCCTGAACTGAAGAAGAAACACACAGCAGGCCCTCAGAAACTGAGTGAACATATGGAGCTGTTCATTCTTCACCTTCACCACCTTCTCTTAAATTCAGTGGAAAAGATGCCTCTTCTTCCTTCTATTCTGTGAGAAACCCCTCCTCTCTCTATTCTAGACCCTTTTATCATCCTGCCTTTTCAAGGGATAGTGCCAATTAATAAGCTGTCTTCACCCTGCCCTTCCTTGGAGAAACATACTTGGGTTACTGAATTTTTAAAATCTCTCCTATCTCTTATCGCATTTATACTACCTACTCTTTTTCTCCTTCCCTTCACAGGTAATCCTGAAACAGTACATGTAGTTCTCTACTTTTATACATAGTTTGTTCCTGAAAACATCTGAAAGTCA